GGCCAGTGAAGCAACGTCCTCCACAACTAGACTGAAGAACAAAAAGACAGCAACTTGTCTGTTCCCCTTCCCCCAATTCCCCAATAAAAAAAAAAAAAAAAACTTAAAAAAAATAAAAATAAAATAAAATAACTGTTTTACTACCCCTAGACACATTACTGATTATACTCCACAAATGTATCCCATTCTGATGGTAAAAACTATCAGGTTAAACACAAAAGAATATATGTCTATTTTCTAGAAGGCTATAGAATAAAAGATGGAATAAAAATGCACCGAAATAAATAAGAATTCATTTAATGTTAGAAAATTTTAACTGGGTACTTTACCAATAACTTTTTGACAAATATGAAAAGGAAAATGACTGTTTTTATTTTAAAACATATAATTCACTAAATATTAAAACCTAATACTATTGGGTTGTCGGAAAAGCCATGACGTATTTTGTCTATGTTTTTTCCAAAGGTCATTTGTTTATATAAAGAACAAAGATCAATGAATGATATGTTGCCTGTTTTGTTCAATAACCTTTTGCCATCTTTCATTGAGCTTCATAATTCCTCGTTCATAGAAGGACCTGTCTTTATTTTGCGAAAAACTGAACAAGGTGTTGATTTACAGCCTCATCTGAACTGAACGTTATACCACGCAAGGAGTTTTGAAGACAGCGAACAAGTGGGAAGTCTGACGGCACAAGGTCAGGCGAGTATGGTGGGTGTGGCAGCACTTCTCATCCAAGCTCCAATCATTTTTGACGGGTGATCAAACTTGTGTGTGGTCTCGCGTTGTCACGATGGAGCACAACTCCTTTACAATTAACAAGCTCTGGACGTTTCTGAATGATGGATTCGTTCAAACTGTCTAATTGCCGACAGTACACATTCAAATTGATTGCTTGGTTCCTTGGTAGGAGCTTGAAAAACACAATACCCTTAAAATCCCACCACACTGAGAGCATAACCTTCCTCTGATGAATGCCTGCTTTTGATATCATTTGAGGCAAATCAACACATCAGGACCAAGATCGTTTGTGCACCACATTGTTGTAAACAACCACTTCTCATCACCAGTTATCAGTCGCTTCAAAACAGGATCGTTTTCCTCATGTTTAATGAGCATACTGCAGATGTTTATACGTGCAGTCAAATGAACTTTTTTGAGTTCATGTGGAACCCAAATATCAAGCTTGCTTACATATCCCAGCTTCTTCAGGTGGTCATGAATCCCCAGCATGGAATTTCGTGAACCATCGTTGGCACTGACGTTCTTGTAGAGCATTGTCACCGTAAACTTTATGCAACTTTTCACAAGCTTGGCACACGTTCTTTACTTTATGAAAGTAAAACAGTAAAATATGGTGAAAATGCACAGTTTGGTCTTCTATTTTCAACTTGTGAAATCTTCAAAACTCAACCAAATCACTCAATTTTTTTTTTTTTAGAATGAAGCTAGAACTGTCAGCTGTCAAATGACATAGCAATAACATAGATGCGAATGACTCTAGTACTTCCAAAAATGAACTAGCACCATCTATTGCAAACAGGAGTCATGACTTTTCTGACAACCCAATATATACACATTAGCTCAACTGATGTTTATTCAAGTGAGCAAAATTAAATTATAAAATGAGATGATATATCAAACAATATATTCATAACCAGGAGATTCAGGGCATGTTTAAAAGCATTTGTTTTTGTATGACTTCATTAGAAGAGAACTAAAGAACCCATTACTTTTGGCATTTCTTAACATAAACATGCACATTATGGTACTTACTAGCACATGTGTTTTTTCTAATTAGACTCAATTTAAAACTTACCTGTTTTGTTGACTTTTTTGTTCCATTAAAAATCTTCCAGGCTAGCCCATTGCCACCACTGGCAATGTGTCGACCAACATCGAATTCTCTAGTGACAGGATTTCCCATTACAGCACTAGTGACGTCAGCTGTTACTTTTGTAACAGTACTCTTCAACTTACTAAGCATGGACTCCATGGCTGCAATATTGGGTAGTTATAGTTACCTAGAAACACAGGGGGATAGGGGAGCTCTGGTCATTTGTTTTTACTTGTTTAAGCACTTAACATTCATTATTTTGTCTGAAAAGCTTAATATACCCAAACAATGAGCAAAACAGTCCTATATAGATCAAGCCACATGTTGATTTGGTCTTCAGAGAACCCAATATAACTTGAATTTAAGTCTAGGAACCAAATTGTTCCCTTCAACCTCAAATGTCACAGACCAGGAAGAGAAAAAGACATATTCACACTTGACACTGACATGAACATCACTCAACTATATGAGTATAACTTGGACCCTTTAGGACTTACCGTGGTGTAGAGCGTCTGAATCTTCCTTCACACTAAAAACCACCATATAAAACTTGAAAGGAGTTAATGCTATACTAAGCAATAAATTTGTATTTTATAAGAGTTTTGTTCATTAAAATAATTGCTGCTGAACTATGAAATCATTTGAAAATATTTTCTAAAAGAAAAGCACTGATGACAGAAGGACAATCAAACATGCACAAATGAAAGGTCATAAAATGCTTATAAAATTTTACACATTTCTGGCCATAATCGAAGAACAAAGACTGAATGTACCCTCTCACCCTGAACAACTAGAAACTGGACAAAACATATGAAGGAAACATTTTCATACACTGATCAGGTGGCACAGGTATATGATCCTACTGAGAAAGTAAACTAACAAGGTGAACCCTAGGACTGCCCCAGATTTCTGCCAAGAGGCACAATGCAAACTACAGAGCAGAGAGCAGAATTCCAAACAGCAGTCTAGCTGAGTTAAAAAGTTGAGGAGGCAAACTGAAATTCAAGGATGCTGAGGTGGCTGGGAGTTCTGGGATAGAATTTCAAAGAGAAAGGGAAAATTTTTTTTAAAGAGAGGGTTGGGGAAGTACTATGCTGAAAAAGAGCTCCAGGAAATTGCATAGGGGTCCCCTTGATGCTTTACTGAATACTAAGATGCACTTGCATATGTGAAATGGCACCAGGTCAGGCAAGACCAACTACAGAGCTGTGAGCTGAACAGCTCCAGAGTTTGCATAGGGCTGCAAATCACTTAATTTCTCACCAGCTAGAGAGCGTCCTCATTGATCACTACAGGCATTCAGTAGAAATCACAGAAGGACCATGAGTAGTAGGACAGACTGTTTTAGAGTAAAAGCTACTCTAAACCTGCCCTAACAAACTAACAGCAACCCTCAAATGATCAAACTAATCACAAATTACTTAACTACCTACAGAACAAAACCCAATACTCACGAAAGACAAAATTTTCAGATACTAAATATAATATTTACAATGTTCAGCATGCAGTCGATAATTATCAGATATGCGAAGAAGCTGGAAAATATGATCATAATCAAAATGAAGATCAGTCAATAGAAACAGACTCCAAAATGAGAGATTATGGATTTAACAGACATTAAAAAGCTATCATATCCAAGTATTTAAAGGAAAGCATGAACATAACGAAATATTAAAAATTAAATATTAAAAATATGTTACTATTTTAGTTATTAAAATTAATATTATTTTTAAAACCCAAATGAAAATCCTACAGATGAAAAAAATAAATCTCAAATAAAAAAATTTAGATGACATAATTAACAGATTACAGTGTAAGAAAAAAAGAATAGTGAAACCTTAAGATACAGTAAAAGTCTGAATAAAAATGAACACAGTCTCAGTGACAATATCATGGTCTAACATATATAACTGGGTCCCAAAATTAAGGGGGAAAAGTAAGAAATATTTGAAAAAATAATGGCCAAAATTTTTCCAAATTCAATGAAAAGTATACAAAACACCAAGAAATTTGATGAACCATAAACAGGGTAAACACAAAGAACACCACACTCAAATCGGTCATATCAAATAGCTGAAAATCAGTTATTAAGAAAAAATTCTTAGAAGTAGCCAGAGAAAACAGGCAAATTATATAGAGAGGAACAAAGATAAGAATTTTCCCCAGACTTCTCATCAGAAATTGCAAGCCAGAAAACAACTGACATGAGTCCTAAAAGAAACTACTGACCTAGAATTCTGTAAGTTGTGGGGGGAAATGCTTCCAAAAATAAATGTGAAATAAAGACTTTTTCAGGATAACAAAATCTGAAAGAATTTGTTGCCAACTGATCAATATTCACTATATTAATGAAATCTTTTAAACAGAAGGAAAAGATAACCAGATGGAAATATCAATCCACAAAAGGAATGGAGGACATTGGAAATCAAAATTATGTGGATATATAAAAAACACTTATGGTATCTTTAAAAGACAGCGGATTATTTAAAGTAAAATTAACATAAATGTAATGTGCTTAAGTAAAAAAATTACAAAACAAACCCAGGATAGTAGAGGAGAAATGGAAGTTTATTTTTTAAAGATTCTTACATTATGTGAGGTAGTATAATATCATTTGAAAATAGATTGTGACAAGTTAAAGTATATTATAAACCTAGAATAATAACTAAAAAAATAAAGATATAGCTAAAAAGCCAATAGTGGAAATAAAATGGAATCCTAAACTGAACACAAAAAGAAGAAAAGTGGAAGAAAGGCACAAAGAACAAATATGACAAACAGAAAACAAATATCAAGATAGATTTTTAAAAATCCAACCATTTAAATACTTACATTAAATGTAAATGATTTTAAATTCCAATTAAAAGGCAGAGACCATCAAACTAGATAAAAAAAGCAAGACACAACTACATGCTGCTTATAAGAAACCCACTTTAAAACCTTTACAAACTTTACAAAATGATTTAAAAGTAAAAATGTGAAAATATACAAAGCTGGAGTGGCTATATTAATAACAGAATAGGCTTCAAGACAAAGAGGGACATTTCATAATGATAAAGTTGTTAATTCATCAAGAAGACATAACAAACCTAACTGTGTACATAAGAGAGATTCAAAATAAATAAAGCAAAAACTGATAAAACTGAAAGAAGAAATAGATAAATCCCCAATTATAGTTGGACACTTAAAGGATCCTCTCTAACAAATGGATATATAGACCGACGTAGACAAAAAAATCAGTAAGGATATAGAAGACCTGAACAACATTATCAAGCAATCTTACTTAAAACACTCTACAACAGAATACATTTTGTTTTCATGTATACGTGAAACATTCCCTAAGACAGACTATATACTGGGCCATAAAACACATCTCAACATATTTAGAACTACTAGAATAATATATGTTCTTTGACCACAATGAAATTAAACTACAAATCAGTAATCGATAAATATCTAAAAAAAAATGCAAATACAGTAATAAATTGGTTTGCGAGCATAATTTGTTCCGGAAAAAAACTACTCGTATTGCAAGACATCGCTCGTTTACCACGTTAAAATGTATTAGAAATGTTTGCTCGTCTTGCGGAACACTCACAAATCAAGTTACTCACAATCCAAGGTTTTACTGTACTTGAAAATTTAACATTTCTAAATAATCCAAAGGCTAAAAGAGAAACCACAAAGAAAATCTGAAAATATTTTGAAGTGAATGAAAATAAAAAATCTGTGGGATGTAGGTAAAAAGCAGTGCTTGGTAGAAAATTTATACCTTTAAATATTTATATTGTGGGAGAAGTCCAAAATTAATTATCTAAACTTCCACTTTATAAAGCCAGGGGGAAAAAAGAAAGAAAGAAAAAAATTAAACTCAAAATATGTAGAAAGAAGGAAATAAAGATTAGAAATCAATTAAACAGACTAAATTTAATGTAATTTAATATTCTGATAGAGAAGTGAAAAAGAAAAAAGATCAATGAACCAAAACTATTTTTTTAAATAGATAAATGTCTAGCTACATTAAGAAAATCTTTAAAAAGAAGATACACATGGGCCAGCCGAGTGGCTCAGCTTGGTTAAGAGCTCGCTTGGGAGCAACCAGCTCTGTCTGAGCAGCCGGGCTGCGGTTCGGATCCCACATCTACAGCTAAGATGATGAACAAAGCTCAACCTGGAGCTGGGCAGCTGTGAGTCGCCGGGGACGGTGTATGCTGCAGCAGGGCTGCAGTGGGCTGCTGTAGCTACCGGAAGCCACTGTGAGCGGCTGATTAATGACCGGCGACCGACTGTCTCACCAGGGCAGAGCACAATAATCATACCAACATGGGCCAGTGAAGCAACGTCCTCCACAACTAGACTGAAGAACAAAACAGCCTGGTCTGTTCCCCTTCCCCGATTCCCCAACACTGTTCCTCTCCCCCCAATTCCCCAATAAAATCTTTAAAAAAAAAAAAAGAAGATACACATGAGGTTCTGGTCAAGATAGCGGAGCAGGACACACCCAGGATGTTTTGCAGGATCAGATGGTGAACCAGCTCAAACTGCCTGGGACCAGCAGGAGCAGCCTAAAATAGGCCCTACAGTGACCTCCTCATAAACTTTCCTCATTATGCCCTAATTATTATACTAAAATCACCACCCAGGAGTGGGCCATCATTTTTGTGCATGTGCAGGAAACAGCAGTGTTTCCTGACTGTGCGTGTGCTGAAATGTTACTGCCTATACATACAATAACAAAGTCTACTTTGATAAACATGTATGATTTCCCCTAATAATGATGGATTAGATGCTTAAAAACAAACAAATGACCAATATCAGAAACAGAAGAAATGCTACAGATTGTAATTCTATATAAATCTTGCCGAGTCTAAATAAATAAGGTCTTATTTGGCACAAGATCTTATGCCAACTAATTAATTCAACAATTTGGATGAAATGGAAAATTCCTTGAGAGCAACAACTATCAAAATAACTCAAGAAGGGTCAGAAAGTCAGAACAGTCCTATATAAAATAAACTCAATTCATAACTACAATCCTTACCACAAAGAAAACTCCAGACTTACATGGCGTGACTGTTGAATTCTACCAAACATTTAAAGAAGAAATAATACCAGATCCACAGAAGTTTTGCCAGTGTTCCAGGATAGAACATGTCCCATTTCATGCTACATAGTCTGTATTGCCCT